GGGGGGCACTGAGCCCCCTGTTTTCCCCCAGCCACCTGCCCAAGATCTACCAGGCCCTGCTGGTGTCGGCCACGTTCAACCCCGAGCTGGAGGCGCTGCAGGAGCTTGTGCTGCACAACCCCGTGAGGAACGAGGGGCTGGGATGGGGTTTGGGGGGAGCTGGGATGGGGTTTGGGGGGGACTGGGAGGGGTTTGGGGCATCCAGGGGGGGGGTTGGGGGGCTCTAAGGGAGGTTTGCGGGATCCAAGGGGGATCCAGAGCGGGCACAGAGTTGGGAAAACGCCGGGATTTGGGAACACTGCCCCCCAGGAGCAGATTTAGGAGCCACAAGGAGCCCAGAGGACCCTGTGGGTGCCACAGCCCCCCTGTTTTTCCCCATTTTCCCCATCCCAGGTGTTGGTGCTGCCCCCGGAGCCGCGGCTGCCGGGCCATTCCCAGCTGCAGCAGTTCCAGGTGCGCTGTGGGACGGAGGAGGACAAGTTCCTGGTGCTCGTGGCGCTGCTGCAGCTGCGGCTGCTGCGGGGCCGGGCCCTGCTCTTCGTGGGCAGCCTGGCCAGGGCCTTCCGCCTCAAGCTCTTCCTCGAGCAGTTCGGGATCCCCGCCTGCACCCTCAACTCCGAGCTGCCCGCGGCCTCCCGGTATGCCAGGGGCACTGGGGGGGCACTGGGGGGGCCCTGGGGTGTCCTGGGGGTCACACGAAGGGGGGTGGGCACACTGAGGGTCTCCTCTGTCCCCAGGTGCCACGTCATCGCCCAGTTCAACCGTGGCCTCTACGACTTCATCGTGGCCACCGACGAGGAGGGGCCTGTGGAGACCCCCCAGCGCCAGGCACGGAAAGGGGGGACCCCGGGGTGAGCACGGGGGCTGGGGGATGTCACCAGGGACCCACTGGTGCCACCAGTGTCCTGTGGGTGGCACCAGTAACCAGGGGGTGACACCAGGGACCTGGGAGTGCAACCAGTGCCCTGAAGATGCCACCAGGGAGCCACTGGTGCCACCAGTATCACATGGGTGACACCAGTGTCCTGTGGGCATCACCAGGGACCTGGGTGACCACCAGTGTCCTGTTCCCGTGCGAGTGTGTCCCCCTTGGGGGGCTCAGGGTGTCCCTGTGACCGTGGCCTCACCGTGCCCGGGGTGTCCTTGTGCCCAGGGGATCCCCTTTCCCAGCCTCCCTGTCCCCACATCCCAGATGCCCACTTGCTCTGGGTGTCCCTCCCGAGCCCCCCCAAACCCTGGTGTCCCTGTGTCCCCCCAGGAAGGGGAAGGGGAAGGCCAAGGACAAGGGGAAGGCCAAGGCCCAGGACCCTGAGTATGGGGTCGCGCGGGGCATCGACTTCCAGAACGTCTCGGCCGTCATCAACTTCGACGTCCCCCCCACGGTCGAGTCCTACATCCACCGTGTGGGCAGGTCTGTGCGGGCACCGGGGGGACCCCCAGGGGTGCCAGGCTGGCCGTGGTCCCACCCTGTGTCCCCCCTGCACCCCCCAGGACAGCCCGCGGTGACAACCCTGGCACGGCGCTGACCCTGGCGCTGCCCGAGGAGCACGAGGGGCTCACCCGCATCGAGGACGCGCTGGCAGGAGGTTTGGAGGGCCCTGTGCCACCCGGGGGGGCTGGGGGACACTGGGGGGCTGGGGTGATCCTCTGTGTCCCCCCAGAGAACGGGCAGTCCATGCTCCAGCCCTACAAGTTCTGCATGGAGGAGATCGAGTCGCTGCGCTACCGCTGCCGGGTACGGGGGGCACCGGCGGGGCTGGGGGGGACAGGGGTGGCACTGATGAGGTCCTGGTGACACCAGGGGGATGTTGGTGGTGCCAGGGGGGGTCCTGGTGACTCGGAGGGGGTGCCAGCGTGGGAGTGGCACCCTGTGACCCCACTGTGCCCCCCCCAAAGGATGCCATGCGCTCGGTGACCAAGCAGGCGGTGAAGGAGGCGCGGCTGCGCGAGATCAGGGACGAGCTGCTCAACTCCGAGAAGCTCAAGGTGACCCCGGGGGGCTCCGGGAGGGGGTTTGGGGGTCCCTGAGGGGCACAGGAGGTCCCTGGGCGGTGCCAACTTCCCCCCCCCCCATTGTCCATGGCCAGGCCTATTTCGAGGACAACCCCCGGGACCTGCACGTGCTGCGCCACGACAAACCCCTGCACCCGGCCATCGTGAAACCTCACCTGAGGAACGTGCCAGACTACCTGGGTACGGGGGCACAACAGGGGCATGGGGGGAGAAACGGGCAAAAATGGGGGGATTGGGGGGAAAACGGCGCAGAAGGGGGTGATTTGGGGGGGCAGGACTAACCCCTGGTGCCCCCCCAGTGCCCCCCAGCCTCCGGGGCATTGCCAGGCCTGGCCCCAGGAAACGAAAGGGCCCCCGAGTGCTCCGAGGGCCCAGTGCCCGCAAGGGAAAACCTGCTGTGAGTGACCCCCAAACCCCCTCCCTGAGACCCCAGATCCCCCCCCACATCTTCTCCCTGAGACCTCAAACATCCCCAAACACCCC